GGTCCTGACGATGAATATTGACATCTGATTTTGACATTTAGCGCGATTTGGCACCAATCCGTAGGCGCCAACCCAAATGCAAAATTTAGTCGCCACGGAGGATCGAACTCATTTCACCACTTTTTTGGGGTCAGTCAAAAGTGGTACGCTTCCTTTTTTTCGCACCTAATTAAATATGCCTCGCTCCGAGGTGCGAAGCAGCACTAATTGAGTGCGATAACGCAGAGGTCATGATGCCACCTCCACATCTGTATTGATTGAGTAAAAGCAACTTCATTGGAAGAAATGATCAGGGTTATATTCGTATATAATCTGAGCGTAGAAGTGGTAGGAAAATTCAAATCCTCCAGATTGTTGCCTCCTTGAAAACGACTGGAACTTCTCTAAGTGCTCACTGCTTGAAAAATCGCCCTGTTGGTCCTTTTTTCTTGCATGCGCGAGTTTTTGGTTTTGAACTGCTATAGCTTTTTTTCAAATTCAAATTTTTGCGCGCTTTTTGGCTGACGCTGTAATAGTGTGAAAAAAACGCGTGACTGGCTGAAATCGCAATAAAAATGACGAAATGTTAGATAGATGGGGTAAGCTCGGAACTCTGAGCGTGGATTCACGATTAGTGTCTTTTACAGGAAACCCGATGTTTTTGAAACATGCCCATGTAAGGGAAAGTGTAAGCACTTCGGCGAATCGCTTTCCGAGGCCTAGAAACTGGGGAGTCATTGAGCTTCCAGTAAAGATTCGGTGTCCAACATAAAGCACGAAACTCGTAATTTTCTAATTTTTTCATATATTTATACAGTATCACTTCTGAAGAGAGTTCCAATCATGTGAAGCCTGAAGACCCGCGTTTTCAGAGGAATAGACCGAAAAGAAAAAAAGCGAACTGGTACTTTAAAATACGTTTCAGTCCGCTCCATTTTGGATGAGTTCAAGTATTCCTTGAAAAGCTGCAAAAATTTGAGATTCGAAGAAATCTGCAGCAGTTTAGAATAAAAAGAAAACCAGCGCGTGGCCAAAAATCGAAATTCCAAAAGGATTACTGGTGCTTCGTGAGCCCATCAGTTTTGAGGTGAGTTCGAACACACATTAGGAAGCTCTGACCCTGTATTAGTTACAGTGGGTAAAGAAGAGCAAAAAATTGAATCTGAAAAAAAGTTATGGCAGTTCAAAGCCAAAAAACCCGTGCGTGCAAAAAAAGGCCAACGGGGCGATTCTTCGAATTAATGAACACTTCAGAGGTTCTAGTCCTTTCTAAGGAGGAAACAATCGAGGATTCGAAGTTTTCTACCACTTTTACCCTCACTTAATATATGAATATTTAACCCTGATTGTTTTTTCAATGAAGTTTCTTTTACTCAATCAATAGAGATGTGGAGGTGGCATCATGACCTCTAAATTCTCGCACTCAATTAGGGCTGCTTCGCAGCTCGGTGCGAGGCATCCCTTAATTAGGTGCGAAGAAACAGAAATCGTACCACTTTCAACCCACCCCTTTTTTTGGTATCGCACCAAAGCATCAAGGATGGAAGCATGGGTTTTGTGATTCCGAACGTGCTACCTAACAATATGTGGAAACGTTTTGTAAAGTGGCTTGAACTGAAAGCCTCCAGTGTGGTAATCTCTCATTGCCTTAGCTGCAGCTGCTTAATGGTGAGTGAGCTCTGACCTCAGGTTTTCGAGGATTCTTTTCTGCTGGCCATTACTCGCACGAAAACTTGGTAGTCGTGTGTCAAGAATACCAATTATAATTGGGCTGCCTTTCGACCAAGTCAAGTGTGCAAAGATAAGCGAAGAACTTGCATTAAGGTCTCTCAGGTACGGTACCTGCTTTTTCGAAGGACAATTTTCATTTGCTTCGTATGGGCGTAGTGGATGGAACATAGAACTATGCTTTATTTTTAAGGCTCTCCGAAGGCCGAAAAAGGGGTGAAAGTTTGGTTTATGGTTCCATGTTGTGAGAAAAATTTGTATATTTGATTGTGCTGCATGATGAGCAGGTACCTGCGACTGAACCTTCTGGACATTCACGAAATTGCCAAGATGTGTTTTATTCTTAAAGGCAAAAGTCAGGCTCGTGTTTCGGCATTATGGCACCTGATATTGAGTTTAGAGATGGGAGGTGGAACGATAGTGAAGAAAAAACGAAAAAAACTGTCGACAACACCTAAATAGAAACCCATTCCTTCTAGCAGTGAAGGAGATTTGCTCGGGGGAGAGTCACGTCCAAACGAGTTTTCTGGATATGCCAGCCGTTCCATCGGTTGATACGGCAATCAACTCAGCTGATCTCACACGTTAGGCCAGCCACGCACCACATCCCATGGTGGGCGGCCGGAGCGCCTCCAGGCGGCGCGAGCGCTTAATGCATGCCCTGGGGCGTTATTACGGCGCCTTTTGAGATTCTGAGCATGGCAACGTCCCTGTGGGTGCGTAGCCATGCACATAGACGACTAAAGTGATTGGTTTGGTCCACTGAGCCTGACTCGTGGCTTTAATCAAAGAATGTTAGTGTACATTCAAATCTCAGATGATAAACACATGTTTTGTATGTACAGTCCATATCCGAGAGTTGAAGCAGGCATGTTACCGGAAATGACTTGGCGGCAGCCGCACTCCATAGATTCCTGTTTAACATTCATTCGTAACAGGATATCCCAAGATCAGAGAGGGATCACGGGGGACCATTGCCAATCCCTTCGCGCCTTCTCGAGCGTCATGGCGTCAACTGGATATGGGAGACATGGAGGGTAAAAGCAACGAGCCGGCACTCACGACTTCGTTTGTTGCGAATGTTTGTATAAATATAACGCCGAACATCGAGCAAGCGGAGCGAATGCTGGGCTTCGACCTGCGCCTGTAAGGTTGGTCTACAGCTGAACCTAACGAAGACGATGTTTATGAGAAACGGATTGGTTCCTGATGCCCCATTCACGCTCAACGGAACGAACATCACCGAATGCTCCAGCTACGTGTACCTAGGTCGGGAAATCAATATGATGAACGATCTAGCTCCAGAGCTGAGCAGGAGGAAACGAGCGGCTTGGGGAGCGTACAAGAACATCGAGGGAGTAGTGAAGAAGACGAAGAACATCCGGCTCCGTGCCCACCTCTTCGATTCCGCTGTCCTTCCTGCCCTAACCTACGCCTCAGAGACTTGGACTCTGCGCAGGCAGGACGAGCATGCGGTCAGCGTTATCCAACGCGCTGTCGAGAGGACGATGCTAGGAGTAACCCTATACACGCAAGTGCAGAGGGGAATCCGGAGTGCCGAACTACGCCAACGATCGAAGATCAGGGACGCTGCCGTTTTCGCCAAGGAATCGAAGATAAGGTGGGCCGGACACGTCATGCGATTTTGCGATGACCGTTGGACCAGAGCGGTTACCGACTGGATCCCTCGGGACGTCAAACGAACACCTGGACGACCGCCGGCCCGATGGTCAGACTTCTTCACGAAAGCTCTGAACGAAAGGAATGAAGGACATCGTGTCCCTCGAGCGAGGAGGGTCCACTGGACAACTCTTGCACGCGACAGGGACGAATGGAGACGTTGCTGGCGCCCGCTCGAGCAATTCGATGATCAACGGGACGACAGGTGATACAGGTGATGCAGAAAGTGGCCTGCAGGACATTATCCACAACCTCTTCGAATGAAGCGGCAGCCACGTCATTCTTCTGATGCACGCTAACCCCAATTCTCTGATTGATTGTGAGGTGCCCAAACCACGATTTGATTGAGTAGAAGGCGGTGAATATCGCTTGAGGATTCCTCAACGGCACGTCGAGGATTCTCTGCCCGATCAGACACGATCTCTCGCGCGGACATTCACACTCGCCATGCCGTGCCGTCTGTGCTCTCCGCGCGGATGTTCACTCTCGGCACTACTCTCACATGGTAGAGAGCTATGGTCGAGGAAATCCTCGACCGTTATTCACCCTGGTTGTAATTGTCTCGCACGCTTAACTTCGTATAGCATACATTATACGAAGATTGTATTACACAGGTGAAACGCCAACTTTCGTAAGTTGCTTCAAAACTGAGCGTGAACTGTGACTATTTTTCGTTGAATGATTGTCCCTCCTTTCAAAAAACGAGAAAGCGTCGAGTGCAGACCATACACCACAAGTGACGACGGCCTCCAAATCTGTAAATCTGGTTAGTAGTGGTTCATAGTGATAGCTGATTTTTGGTAAATGATAGTTGTAATTAGTGACAACTGATAGAATACAACTGCAACAGGCTAATCATTTCATTGGCAGAAAACATTTACATTTTGTGGAGGCCGTCGTCACTTGTGGTGGTCTGCACCCGACGCTCTTCTCGTTCTTGAACGGGAGTACACGAATGTGTTCACGTCTCCATGAATGTGGTTTCCTCAACGCGAAAATTCTCGATTATCGCTCGCCGAAAATCCTCCCAAATCTGAAAACTTAGTATTCCTGCAGTGCATGGCTCCCAACTCACGCAGTAGCAGCGAAAACCTACCCTATTCAAACTCTGATTTTTTTACCTCTTCCCTTGTTTTCGTCGCAGCTGAGGATGCCCCGTAAAGTACCAACAATTGATATTCGAGCTTAAACATGGGACTACCTGCCCAATAAGTGAGAATCCTACTGAAGAGTTGAAATTGGGTCATTCCACACTATTTGGACTAACTCCCAAGTGCGAAAAGAAAACTATTGTGCTTGATGCGATGTCAGAATTTGCTTCCGACATTTTGATCATTAGTTTGGAAGTATTCCTATTTCTGAGAAGTCACTCTACGCTGCAGATGGCTGCATGGAATTTAAGCGCGTTAAAGAAGGCGCGTCTATCTCACGAAACGCGTTGACCATGGAGAGAGAGAGAAATTAAAATGCACAAGCACGGATGAAAAGAGCAGTTCAAAACGGACACCGTTGCGCTGAAAAACAACTAACATTTCATTCTTCAAAACGAAATAAAGGCAAAATTTTGCTCAACTGATGGATGCTGAATAATTTAAATTGCGCAATGTTTAGGGTTCAGTATTGGAAGCGGTGTTGGCGGAAATGATGGTTCTACAGGCTATGATGGCGGCATTGGCAGTGGTGTTGCTCCGGGCGGCTACTCGATAGGAGGAGGAGTGCGCCCAAGTGGAAGTTTTCCCGGAGATGGAGGTCAGGGCGGGACTCTCATTGGAGGTGGTATACGGCCAAAGGAAGGACCCACAGTCGGTGGGAATATTCGCCAAGGCAGAGCGGCTATAGGAGGATGGTGCACGCCATGCAGAGAGCTCCATAGGAGAAGGAGTTCAACATAGTGATGCTTCCATAGGAACTGGAGTTCGGCAAGTGAAGGATTCCATTGGTGACGGCGTGGGACAAGCTGAGACTTCATTGCGTCAAATTCGTTCTATTGGTGATGGTGTACAACACCATACAGTTTCCCAGCATGGAACATCTATTGGAACCGGCGTGCATCACAACGGGCCCTCCATTGGGACCGGCGTCCATCATAATGGACACGCTATTGGAAGCGGAGTAGTGGAACAAGCGCCTCCTGTTAACAATCAATTTCACCGTCACAAGACTCCGATTGGAGATGGTGTGAGACATTCTGGAGTCGGAGGTGGTGTGACGGCTGATGGGAGCTACGTTCGTCAGAGTGGACATCAGATTGGAACAGGCGCTCGTGAGTTTTTGCATTGGTGACCATAAATATGTACATCGAACAATCCATTGTCATTCTCGTCCCCTTCACCTGATTACACGCTTACCGAATAATTTCAGAAGCCTACCGTGTCTGAACAACGACTAATTCACTGGCTGAAGGATGCACTATTTAGTGTAAAGGAGGAAGACTGCTCATCATTGATAATTGTATAACGATCAAATTAAATCGAATAAATCAATTTCCCATAGTTTCATCTTTTCCAAAGTCAACTACCAAAAAATCCTTTATTTTTTGTTTCTAAGTAAGTAATGAAATTGTTAGTAAACGGTCGAATTGGTAAAACATCTCAAGTCTTTTTCGGAAAATCTCAGTTATACGGTTCTCCGTACTTCTTTCGTGATCGCGCGCTCGTTTCCATTTCGACTGCAGCAGCCTGGAACGATATTTTTGTAGGAGCCTTATGATAAGAAACCCTCTGTGGTATGAGGAGGTAGCTAGAATATCAAAGCTAGGGGAAGGCCATTTTCTATGAATAAAGGCATTGGTGAAATCAGTTCAGGCATATAGGGCCAATTCAGGGTTGAGATAAGTATTTTGGGCATGTTATAATTGCGTTGTTCCAGAAAGAAGTGAAGTGTGCTTCAAGCGCTTCAAGTTGTTAGTACTGCTGCTATAAGTGCTCCACGCTTGACTGCGTACTCCGAATCAAGACAAATACGAGAATGCTCCGAAAAGATCCTTAGAGGTAGCACTTTATTGGTGACAAGGATTCTGGAAATGGCAACAGTGCGAGAAAAAAAAACAGCAGTCAAATTGGAAAACGCCCCAGCCTCTTGCAAACTTATAAGGATTCCACGCCGCCAGACAGGCCAAGTATTGCGCTATTGTCATAGAGTGAAGGAAGGTACGCTCCCTTTTATGGATCATGAGGTTGATCTTACCTCAGCTGCATCCTTTGTTCTTCGCGTTATCAGTGTGAATGAAGCAGGTTTGTCGGTAGCAACAGGGAGAAAAATAGCATTTGCCTGGAATATTTAAACATCGACGTTAATGATTTTTCTCCACAAAATTCGCAATATTTGCTACGAAACTATGCCAAAACTCCGAAAGTCCCGACTGTCTAGTTGCTGCGAAATTTCATTAAAATCAGTATTCATGTACCAGAATGAGCAGAAGCGCCGTTGATCCAGTAAACGTATCTCCATTGATCGTGTCGCTTTTCGTCGCGGACAAAGTAAGCGACCATTGCCGGAGCCACGAACAGTGCCACACATTTCATGAACTGTATTGTAGCCAACACAAAGTGCGCATACTGTCTAAAATAACAAAGATTATTAAAAAAAATACTTTATTACAATCCTGAGTCGCGAATGCAATGGTGGCAGGCGATCCGTTCACTCTGGTATCTGCAAGCTTTCCCAGTCAGGCCATTTTAATACAGTTCATATTTCCATGTGGAGCAGGCAACCAACTGCGATGGTGTGATTTATCACTATATCATCAGCACTAGTGGTCAGGATGCTGAAGGAGCTGTAATCTTCTTCTTCTATCTAGTCTATTTAGCCTGCGCAGACGCAAGGTCCGTCGTTCTTGTCAGTTGTCGCCACTCTTTTCTCTCCAGGTCCTTTTCTTCTCCTGATGACGTCCCTCCACCCTTCTTTGGGGTCATTTGCCTTGCGCATCGAAGTCTATCGCTGTTCTTATCGGATGGTCCTTGGCCTCCTTAGCACATGCCCATACCATCGCAGACGCTGTTCTCGTACCTTTAGTTGGACAGGGGCAGTCTGCATGACCGCTCTGACGTCCTCGTTTCTGACCCTTGTCCAGCCGCAGCCCATCTCAACATCCTCATTCCACTAGTGTAATAATATCATGAGAAAGCTTAGTTTAGGTGTATTTCAAATCATCCGACAGTAAATGATAATCAGTTGTGTCACTCCGCCTTTTAGTTAGTCAGCAAAGTCGCGAAGATTAGTTAGAGAAAATTTGACAAAGTCGTGATCCAACAAAGTGTCCTTCGGAATTGTTTCCAGCTATCACAGGTAAAATTTTGCAGCTTTTCTGCTACCTTCCCATCATAAAATTCACTTTCGCGTCTTTCGAATATGCTAAAATATGCGGAATCTGCACTTCGCTTAAATCAAACCATGTGGTTCATTTCATAGTTGAAGAATGGCCAACTACCCGGGACAAACTACTATTGGAATTCTCCCGAAGAAGAGCGAGGACTTGCTTGTTCGACTGAAGGGTCTTATTTGGGATTATCGGTAGAGTCCTGACAGTGGAAAAAGTATGTTGAAAAGGAGGAGGTGTTCGGTGTCACGACACATATATATATATATATTATATATAACTCTATATATATATATTAGGTTGGCAAGAAGTCCTGCGACACTTTTTCAATTTTTTGATTTTAATTTTATCTTTTTTGTTTACAACTCCTGACCGGTCATATATCTATCATGAGTGTCCACCACTTGTCTTCAACGCTCAGAAAATTTCCTGATGCGCCTTTTCCAAAACCCAGCGGAGTGCGGGTCAAGAAAGGAGGCGACCTCACTTCCGAGTTGGAGTTGATCGTCTAATCATTTAGCTCGACCAGATTACGCTAAGAGAGGTAAGAAATCTTGCCGCAACTCCAGAATTTCTTACCGGGCTCATTTCGGATCATGGTGATTCGCAATGTCATGAAAGAAATGAATATTGTCGCGGTACGAGGGCTCTTGACGAGCTGCCTCGGCCAGCTTCTGGTATTCCACAGCCTAGGCCTCTACCTACACAATGGTGCCCATAACGAAGGATATGTAGTGGAGCTTCTGTAAGAGCCCTACCTGTAATGGAGTGTAGGGACGCTGCGTGCTTCTTATAAAAATATCAAAAGATCGGAAGCGCTGGTAAAGGTGAAACACGTTGTAGCGGTGAACGACATGCCTGTTGAAGCTATTGCAGATAGTGTTGGTCTTTGACACGAATCCATAGTTATGTAGACATTTGTACTAGACAGTGACTCGGAGTGTGGATTTACTAGTGGTCGAGGTTTTTTGAATTTTCTTGGATAACTACTGACTGCAGCACTTATATCCACCTCGTGGATTGAAGCCTCGAGAATGCTCTACCATTTGTTAGTCATAAATGTTACCTATGGATTTTTCAGAAAAAAAGAAAATTTTAGAAAGAGTGTCGCAGACTTTCTTGCCAACCTTACATGATAATTATTGCCAACAAATGCGAAAAGAAAATAGAATACATTTTGAATTTTTTTGGAAAATATTAAGTCTCAAATGTATAGGATGTATAGGATTCGGTGTTCATATATACTTCTCCAAATTTTTGTGAGGAGAGTGGAAGAGGATCGATCGTAGGTCATGGAGGGAAGTATCGCGCGGGAGAGGGTGTTTCGAATAGTAAGGGAGCCCGATGGCCACTACGAAAGAAGCGCCAACCTCACAAGCGACAGCCTCCGCATCGACTCGTTCGCCGACATCCCCCTTTCTGTGCTCTTTATCAGTGAATACGTTCGTCTATTTTGTTCGTTGTTTCGTTAATCCTCGTGGCCATCAATGCAGTATCCAGTTGTTCCTGTACCGGTGAACACTAACGAAGACAATAGCGTTTGTGGCTCTGCAAAATTCGCTCTCCTTTGGATGGTTTCAGTCATCTGTTCTGGGATGCACGAGACAAGTTGGGAATTGTCTGGAGTGGTACCCGCCCATAGATCTCTTGGATGGAACTTTTTGGGTGCTCCACTCTGTTAAACTGTACGCACTGGGTAAAAGTATGGGACGAGGATGTAACAGAGGTTAGTGATTGAATGTGGGTTCAGTTTAGATAAGAATACCGAAATTTTTCTTTTCAAACCGCGCAATGGTTGAGGCACTAGCGTGAACGCTAGCGCTACCTCGCTATAAATTTGAGCCGCACGAATGGGAACCGTTCCTTGCATGGTACTAAGTCGTTTGCGAGGACGCCCTAGTTAGCAAGCTCATGAGATGTGCGATATCAAGACCCAACTCTTGAAGCGCCAGAGGAGACGATCCAAACCGTACCATTACCGTTAGCAAATCCACTAATAGGGGCAAACCGAGGCTTCTACCTCGAATCGTTCTCAAATGTTATCACGCTATAGGTATGGTCCGGACTAGGTTTCTTTATCCCAAAGAGATACTACACCCCGCCTTAGCTCTTTGTATTACGAAAAGGGGACATCAGTGCAAACCACTTCAATCCGTTGGTGCTTCCAGCCTATGTACTTTTTTGCAAAACGAATTCACGCCTACTTATGCGTGCCTAGTATCTATGGAGTAATCGTGCACCGTCTTCGCATGTAGGAGGAGGGGGTGATTTAAGCGCACGATCAAAAGTGCTTTAACACATTAGGTGCCAGTCCCTTTCCTAGTCGTTGCAAACCCCTAGTCTAGCTGAATGCAGCATTTGGATTCGGCGCTTCTTTCTCAGAAAGCTTTCCCGATGTTCCGATTTTCGTGCTCGTAAGACTACATGCTGTGGCAGAATTTCCTGGTCAAGATGAGTGATGGGCTAACGTTTTTCTTTAGAAGATGCTGCGGTCACTGACTGCAGCATTACTGTAAGCCTCAATATTATTCTTTCACCGCAATAATTGTGTTTCACGTAGCAAGGGGGTTTCTCTTGTTTTCAGGTGCATCAGTTGATATCAACACAGCTCCCATATACTATCGCTGATGAAAATTCGGAACAAAATGGTTACCTTCTTACAGAGATATCTAAGAAAAATGGGGTGGGCCCTTGTGTTTGGAACACACTGTAGTAGAACATTTTTCACATAGTAATAAGGAAGATCGATTTGATGAAATTCTTTGAAAATGGGACCACGAGGTTGATGCTTTCCAATTTTCTTTTGAAGCTTTTTTCGCTTCTGCTTTTTTCATCCGTATCGAAAATTCATCCGGGAAAAAATTTCACTTAAGAAATTTGAGTCTTTATCCTTCATTTAGAAAATGAGGTATATCAAAGAAAGCGGTCATCGGGTGATTAGAGTTTTGTTCACAATCTTTGAAATTGGACAATAGTAGGAGAAATGTGAATCAAAAGGAAAAATGGAGAGCAGAAAAATCGATTACATGTACATAGTAGCGCTCGAAAGCGTAAGGCTTTTTCGATCGTAACTTTTTTACCAGTGGCGCAATCGCGCAAAATTTCGAAATGTACACCAGAAGCATATTCCACACCGGTCCACACTATTTGGCTGCAAAGCAAGACTATCCTCAAAATCAAGAGCAAGGTTGTTGTTGCGGCAGTGGACTTCAATGAAGAGAAGGTGGGCGACGTTTACATTTCTTTGCACCCTATGCCCATTTTTTTCTTTAATGTGTTCGATGTTAGTGCTCGTACACTTTAGACATGGTAAGAAGAGTAGAAATTCCGCAAGGAATTCAGGAAGTCAGAAATTCTATGAGCGATGCTCAGAGGATGCGAAGATCTCGTTGCACTACAGTAGGGCAAGACAGACGCTCATAAGGCACTCGAAAGCTGACCCCAGCTTACTGCGGTTGACATTGCTGCCGAATTCAATGCGAGCGATGGCACAAGCGTAGCCGACAGACTGTGGGAAGACGCCTGAATAGTGCAGGACTGTACGAAGGCGCCCGGCCAAGAATCCGCTCATCAAGCCGAAAAATAGGAGATGTAGAGGAGGACGTCGCGCGCCGCCACGTTAAGCGGACTTCGGCTGACTGGGACAAAGTTCTCTCCACAGACGAGAGCAAATAAAATTTGTGTGAAAGCGATGGTCTCAAGTTTCTAAGACGTCCTTATGGCAAAAGATTAATTTCTAAGCACAGAAAATCCCCAGTCAAGCATTACGAAGGATCTGTGATTGTATACGGCGCGATATCACTAAACGAAATGGCTCCAATTTTGAAAACTGATAGCATAGTGACATGGAAATTCTAGAGAGATCTGATGATCAACACCGTGTTGCCGTGGGCCCGAACATGCCTGCAGAAAGGATCCTACAACAGGATAATGACCCAAAATAGACTTCGTGGGCTGAGAAGCCCGTTTCTCGAGCAGCAGATCAGACTCTCGAGTGGCCGAGCCGGCCTTCACGTCCGAATTCAATAGAGCACATATGGGATCACCGTAGTAGGTAGTAGGTGAGGTACAAATAAATTGAGCAGGAACCGAGAAGAAAAATTCTTTCAGCTTGCGACGTAGTGGCTAGCCATGTCACTGACTGTACTTCAGTAACCCGTTGACTCGATGCCCTTTCGCTGTGCCGCTGTCATCAACAACCGTGATGCTGATCTTTTTTAATGTTTGACATGTTGTTACTCGGAACTGGTATACTTGAGAAATGTTATCCGTGCATCCAACTGGTTTTAGATTTAAGCCCTTCGAAGTCTCAAGCTCCTTGATCGGGATCAAATTGCGAATAAGTTGTGGTAGATATTCACAATATGTCCAATCACATATTAAATTTTGCGTAATTTGATTCAGTAGGAAAAAACTTGCGACTAAATAAGGGTTTGCCAAAGCCTTTTGAGCACTACTGTACGTAGAGAGGAGGCTAGGTTCGCTCTTCCAGTTTTGTAACACCATGGAATCGCGGAACCTTGTTATCTCGGACGACAAACACTGTCAACTATGAACAATGTCTCGCCAAGTGTTCGTTCCGGGAGCAGATCGACCACGTGGGCCGACGAGGCTTTTTGAAATCGCTCGCACGTGGAAAGACAAAGAAGCTGACTGGCATATTGGACGATATCCGCGAGTCTGACGATAAAACATTACTATACACATTCTTTTGTCTGAATGGAAGACTGGAGCCCTCACTGAAGTCAGGGCCATGGCAGGTGCCGTGGACAAAGAAATGTGATAACAACTGATAATGACAGCAGGCCCTACGACTCCACGGGAACAAACTACATAGGAAGGAAAGTTCCAATGAAAGGTTAACTGAGTAGCATGGCTCATTTTGAAAAGGGCTACTCATTGCGCGATATTTCATTTGTTTCACTTCATTATATAAACCAGAAGTTTGGTGTGTCGGTTTGTTTGTGTGTATGTATGTCTGTCTGTCCGTCCGCAAAATGAAGTGAGTGATAAGGAAGCTCATGGAATAAACAAACCGCTAACAAATCGGGTAGCTCGCAGGATTGAGATATCAATGTTTTGCATGATTGTGATAACACGGCTATATAAACACCTACTTAGCACACTTCCGGTCATTCCACAAGGTGCTGCAGTGGCAGCTGGAGAGCAGTGGAGGGAGGAGGGGGACTAAGGAGAGGAGGAGGATCGCAAAGCTTACGCAAGGAAGGGAGGTTCTGGCGGTTGCCGGAGTACCCATCTGGTTGAAACATAAAAGATAAGCGAGCGTTTGGCATCTTTTAAACCCCTCTACTGCTCTGATTGGTAAGCCGAATGCGAGGCGCTTTCAGGAGATCAAAACGGCACTCTATCCTTACAAATGAGCGACGTCACGATATAGAAATCGTGTCGGTGACTTTGCACATTCACATTTGGATTTTTTTTTAAATTTAGCTAAAAAATTTACATGTGAGTGCTGCTGCTGCTGCAGCTGCTGCATCTCTGAAATGTCGTTTTTTGATGTTCTGTTCCTATTCTTGCGCAGCTACTTAACTCACAAAATGTTATTTTATGGTCTTGCTTTGGGAGCATTTTTCATTTTCCGTAACATTCACTGACCGAGAAGATAGTGTTGCACACTTGTAAAAGCCGCCGGGGTTCAGTCCAGTGCAGAGGATATAACCTGTGAATAAAGCTGCTCCAGTACGCGGCCAGTTTGCATCAAATACACCGATAAGTAGGCAAAATATGCCAGCGAAGCCGACAGCAAATGTGTTGAAAATCCTCATCTTGTTTGTTTCGGATACACATTGAATTCAAAGCATGAAAGTACGCTTACTTTTGTTCCCGTCAATCAAGTAGTGTACGCTGACTTTTCAAACGTTCTTATCAAAGTCGATACCCAACCCTTTTTCTATTCAGTCTATCCAGATTTGCGTTTTTCAATCTGCTTCAATTAATGGAATCCTTTTCTAGCATTCAAAAATCGAACAATGAAAGCATGATTTCAAAAAATCTTCCAGTGCAAATCTATGGGCCTAAAGGAGTCCTTTTTCTTAGGCTAGCAGAAAGAAGATGAAGTGAGTACTGTGTTCGCTCGCATTTTTTTGTCAACAGAAAAGTCAGATGAATGGAATCGAGAAGAAGATGCGTTTCTCCTGTCGAAGTCACCCACTACAATGTTGCAAAGAGCCAATACACGCCACAAGAAACGGCCGACCGTGAATGCTAAAACGGAGGCGAGAGTTTTCCCAAAATATTGAGAATGAGAATCGGTCGTCGGTCATCGGTTCCAAGGCTCGCTTCTGGTGCCATAATCGTGAAAAATTGACTCGCTTGTTAGCTAATCGAGTATGGCACTGAAGCAACAACGTTTGCATGGAACAATTTTTATTGGTTGGGTATCGCTCAAAC